ATGAGGTTTAATTTTTTAGGATTGAATTATATTTTTTTGGGGTGGTTCTAACTTTTTGGGATAGATTTGTAACTTTTATGCATTAGTTTATATTTTTGGCTCACTTTTTAATTTTTTTAATTGAGTTATAACTTTTTGGGGTTGGTTCTAACTGTTGGGTAGATGTTCTAACTCTTTGGGCTCCAATTTTTGCTTGAGATTTTAACTTTTTTTGAATTGAATTATAACTTTTTTGGTAGGGTTCCAACTTTTTCGGTATGAGTTTCAATTTTTTTGGTATGGGATTCCAACTTTTTTATGGTGGATTCTAACTTTTTTTGGCAGGGGTTCCATCTTTTTTAGGGTGAGTTCCAACTTTTTTGGGTAGAGGTTTCAACTTTTTGAGTAGGGGTTCTAACTTTATTAGATGAGGTACAACTTTATTGGATGTGGTACAACTCTTTTAAGCTAGATACAACTCTATTGAATGTGTTACAACTCTTTTGGGTTAGGAACTGTTTTTTGAGAACAATCGGTTTCATCGATTTTAAAGACCTACGTGTCACGTATACAATCCACCTTACTTTTCGGTACCATACCGAAAAGTAAGTTGGTGGTATAATAGTGTTACCCTACTTTTGAAAATTGTACACACTAATTATTGGTAAATTAAAACAATAGTAAAAAATTTACAATAATAGTGATAAAATTATGATATTAGTGAAAAAATTACAGTAAAAAAATTTACAACAATAATGATAAAAATTATCATAGTAATTGACAAAATTATAACATTAGTGAAAAATTTATAATAATAGTGGATAAATTTACTATAGTAGTGGACAAAATTTCAAGATAAGTGAAAAAATTTACAACAATAAAGAAAAATTTACAATATTAGTAAAAAATTTACAATAGTAAGGAACAAAATTATAATAGTAGTGAAAAAAGTTATAACTTTAGTTAACAAAATTATCATAATAGTGGGCAAAATTATAACATTACTTAAAACTTTCTATTTCATCAAATTAACACCAAATTTACCTTTAATTTTAATTGTTAAAATTTAATTTCGCTAAATTAACACCAAATTGAACATTAATTTTATCAAACTAGCCAAATGTTAATTTTGTCAAATTAATATTGAAATTCATGAACTTAACATTCAATTTCATCAAATTGAGATCCAATCCATTAAATTAACCCCAAATTAACCGTCAAGTTTATCATTAATTTTTATCAAACTTGCCAAATTTGTCTACCTTGATACTCTAAACCAGGAGGTCAGGGTTTCAATTCCTACAAAGAAGAATTGAATTGAATATTTATTGGAAAGTTTTGAATGTTAATTTAAGAATTTGGATGTTAATTAGATGAATTGGAATATTAATTTGATGAATTTGAATGAATAAAATAAAAATTGGATGAATTGAATGTTCATTTCATAAATTTAATGTAAACTAGTTGAATTTGAATGTTAATTTGATGAATTGAATGATTATTTTCTATGAATTTGATGAATTGAATATAAATGAATGTTAATTTATTATTTATTTGATAAATTGAATGTTAATCAAACAAAATTGAATATTAATTGGATAAATGTAGTGCTAATTAGATGAATTTAGATGTCAATTTGATGAATTGAGTATTAATTGGATGAAATTGCATTGTCTTTTGGTGTTAATTTGATGAATTAAATATTTATTGGATGATTGGTGATGTTAATTTGATACATTGAATGTTAATTGAATGAATTAAATTTTAATTTGATAAAATTGAATATTAATTGGATGAATTCAATTTTAATTTAGTGTTAATTTGATTAATTAATGTTGATTTGATGAATTGAATGCTATTTGGATCGAAAATACCATCGTTCATAATTATATTACAATGATTTGAATGAATTTACCATAATTTATGGTGAGTTTACCACTATCTACATTATGTTATTATTGTTTTGTGCAGTATTGCCATTGTTCGGGATAATATTACCACTTTTAAGGTAATATGACGATGATTTTAGGTGACGTTAGTTGTTTTTAGAGTAAATTTATCACTATTTGGGCGTAATAGTACCACAATGATGTACATTTATTTTTTAAGTTTGTAATATTGTCCATATATGTTATAACTTTAACCAATATAGTTGTAACTTTGGCCTACACCCTTGTAACTTTGTCCATTATTATTATATCGAAATCATAAATTATATTAAATGTAACCATAATTGTTACAATTTTACCAAAGTTGTTGTAAATATAAATTCGTCCACAATGGTTGTACTTAACTCATTTCTTAAATTAACCCATAATTCTTGTAATTGGACCTTTAAATTTGGTAACTTTACCTACAGTGGTGTTAACCTTACTATAATAGGTAGTAATCTTCTCTCATTTGTTGTAAATTCACCTCCACTATAATATAATATACCCTTAACTAATGTAAAATAACCAAAGTTGTTGTAAATTGGTCTACAGTAATTGTAAATTAACTCATTTTTGTCGTAAATTTATCCATAATCTTTGTAATATGACCTTTAAATATGATAAATTTATCCATAATGGTGGTAACCCTACTGTACTAAATAGTAACTTTATTCTATTTGTTATAAATACACTTCCACTGTTGTACTAACTCGTCACTTTTGTTGTACAAATCTAGACAAATTAAAACTTGATCAATAGTTCTTATTTGTTGATAAACATGTCAATGGTTCATATTGATTTTTCGGTATCATACCGAAAGGCCAAAAGGATTTACCGTAGCCGGATCAAAAAAAAAAAAAGGTGCAAGAATCAAACCTGAAGAACTCTGAAAGAATTACTTCACAACTTATTCTTCTTAAACTTCATTCATTGCTAACCATGATTAAGGGTTACTAAGCTTACAAAGATTAATTTGATTTATATGTTTGGTTGTTTTTTTTTTTTTTGATTTACCGGTTAGAGGTGTCTGGATCAGTTTATACGCACCTTGACTTAATCTCTTTCTTGGTTCGGTCAAAGGAAGATCATCTATGTTGGGATTAGGATATTCATGAGTGACAAATTTCTCATGGCTTGACTCCAAGAAATTATCAAGATTTGAATTTAAGACGTTTGAGTTTATGGCGTGTTCCTATTATCACTTGAGTTACCTTTGAGATTGCTTGATTATTTTTTTAGTATCCCCAAACTCAATATTGCCCAAATTTAGTTCAAGTTGTGTGTGTGTGTGTGTGCATTTTCTTTCTAAAGTTTAGACTAAATATTAAAAACATCTGCTCAACTATTAAAAATTTTGAATGATCGACTTTGATATGCACAAACCCTAATTTTTATTTTTTATTTTTTTCAAATTGATAGGATCCAAAATGGAAGTGAGAGTTTAGTTGACGAGTACGATGCTAAATGAGGTACCATATCGAAGTTACAATGTTTTAAGGATTAGTTATAATTTTTTAAATTATAAATTACAACTCCAAAAACATGATCATTCATAAAATATTGTTATGACTAGGATTTATGTCAAAAATCTTAAAAATAGACAACTTGTTTAATGCTCATCCAAGGTTAAATTTGGCGGCGCTTGTTAATAAACTTGCCGTAACACATGCTATATACGAGTAATTGACATAAAATTCACGGTGACTATGCTTAGGAGTTGTGTAACCTCAATTCATTGGCAGAATATTAATTATGTCACTTAATAATAATTTGAACCCCTATCAAAAAAATCTATTAGTCAATTTAGAAAATTAACGTCTTAAAAAGGATGGAGGTTGTACGTGATTAGGGATAGTTAGCTAAACTTAAGCAGTAATCCTAATCTGTCTATATATAAATAATTTAAGTTGGATATAGGTAATGCAGTGATCGGGGGTAAGTACTACACTTGAAGAGTAATTTTAACTATACAAAAATTATTATTGAAGAATGGACCACATGAGATTTTCAAAAATCTAAAAATTATAAATTTTGAAAATGAGGGATGGAGTTTTGGAGTTCAATTTGGCAACTACCAACCCACCGAAGTTCAAAATTACCTACCATTCAACAATTATTTTTTTTTTGGATAATTCTTCCAACCAATCCCCGGTTGACACGAAAAAGCGTATAAGCATTTGAACCTCTAAAAAGGTAGTAGAGACGAGCTATAAACTCAGAAGTTCTGAATTCGAACCCTGGCAAGTCAGAGATTAGGTCATGAGAGATTTATCCATAATAAATACCCTAATTTCGGTGTAGATAACAAGTCTTCGGATGAGAGAAATGATTAATTGAGGCCGGCATAAATTGACTTATAAAAAGTATTTAAGTCTATCCATGTATATATTTAATTCACTGTTCCAACTTCCCACTCATGCATTGGTGACTTTAAACAATGGGTAATACTATTTAGATCTAATTTGCTCATATAATGATGTGGTTCAACAGAATTATTAGATCAATATTAAATTTCAATATTTAATTGGTCCCACAATCAATTCAAAGATCATAATAAATTAGATCAATAAATTAGACCTCAATAGCATTCCTCTTAAATGGGGATGAGGTTCTTTTCCCACTTTTATCGGTGTTAATTGGCTTTTGACTTTTTAAAGTGTGACCAAGAATATGATTCTCCTTTGAGACAGGCAACCACTGATGAGTGATACCTATGCATCTTTTGTTTGTATAGATATGATGGATTTGTTAACGAATAAAGTGATTTAGTGGTGTATCAATCAAATTTTTTATTTTGAAATTGAAGATTTAAGTTTTAAAGTCTATATTAGAGTTTTAGATTAACCGCTATTAATTAGATTCGTTTTCAAGAGCAATAACGGGTGCAGTTAAAAACATTATGATCTCACTAGTAAGATTTATTGGAATAGTCTCTAGGCGCTCTCCTATACCTCCGCCTTTCAATAGTTAAAAAAAAAAATAATGGATTTGCAATAGTGGAGTACATAAGCCCTTTCAGAGATAAACACGACTTATTTTTTATAGTAATTACAGATGAGTAAGTAGGGTCAAAGAGGAAACTAAATGTGTTTATTAATATGAATAAAAAAAAATAATGCATGGATATATCTGTGTGTGGTACATTATTAAATTTAAATAAAAAGGAAAAGAACACCGCTAAGAAAGGTAGGGGTTCCTCGCGTTTACACACAACGTTAAGGTAAGCTCATAATTCAGAGACTCACCCATTTTCCTGAGAAAGTTGAGAGGAAGTGAGAGAAAATAAGAGGAAAAACTGCCTTGTTTCTGCTGAGGAAGATCAGGTACTTGGCTTCTGCATAATGGGCATGTAGAGCTGGATTGAAACCAGGCGTCAATGCAGTCAACGTGGAAGCAGTGATGGCACTTGGGCAGTTTCCGGTAGCTCTCGTTGCCGGACACGTAGTGGAGGCATATGGAACAGTATAGGTTTTGGCTCATGTTGCCGTGGTTGGGGTACCGGAGGGTTAAGGAACGAAGGCGGTGGCCATGGCGGAGGTGCTTGAAGAAGAGATGAGCAGCGAAGAAGACGATACAGACGATAACGGTGATCGTCGTGGTCACTGCCATGGCTTCAGAGTCTGATAATTTGGCTATGAACTCATGTTGATACTCCATATGCCTTTGGTGGTGTTGATGTTATGAAGAAGATCTCTCTCTCTCTCTCTCTCTCTCTCTCTCTCGCTTATCCTATCCCCTCCTGTAGTATGGCGGCCCCTTCAAGTAGTTACAAAATCTAGGGGTCGGTGGCATAGAGATATATAAACACGCATAAAGGATAAATTACACTTAGGCCACTTTAGTTGTGCCCCTCCTTTCACACTGCCCCCTAAACTATCCACTTTCTCAAATAACACCTTCAGGCATTGGTTTGAGTTTCAAACTCCCCCAATGATTACCATCTATTTAGTTTTTCAGGCAAATCAGAATAAAAAAAAAATGATATTCTGCAATGGTAGGACTTTGGAGATATGATCTTTCTCTCTTAAGCTTAGTGGAATTTTTTTTTTGTCTCGAATTGTTATTAAAGAATTAGGCAAATGTTAACAATTGCAGTGTGAAATTCAAACTAAGGGTGCGGTTGTTTGGGGGATAAGTGGGGTATAAATAGGTGGGATAGTATTTATTAGTACATAATCTCACGTATACTTTGTTTGTTAGCAAAGTACTAATTTTTGGATCCTATTATCGACCCGGAATGAACAATGGTGCTAAGCTCATCTACATGGGTATATACCACCTTAGATGTGGTATTAAAATGAGATAGAAAACTAATAATGGTACTAGATTAATAAATTACAATATTGACCCTGTTAATACCAAATGTTCAAATTCAAGATAAGGGCATTAAAATCAATTTATATAAAATAAAATTTTTCCTTTTGTTGTGGGATTACAAGAAAAATAAATTACAATATTAATCTTTCAAGTGTCTAATAATCTAAAACAGATAGAGGGTTTTTAAGTCAATTATCAAATACAATCATTACTTTTATGTGGAACTTACATGCATTGCAAAAGTCACAAGTCAAACATGGTATAAGATTAAAAAAGACATTTAATTATGTCTTCTATACCCATAGTATCGGAGAGAATGAGAAATAAACCTCGAATCTCATCGATCTATCTCTTTAAAACAAACATACTCTAATAGTTTAAGAGGTACTATGAGAAAGCGGAGAGTTTATGTGATGCTCTAAAATGAAAAGCATAGTGTAGGGGCCTGAGTGCAATTTGAACACACACACACACACACATATATATATATTAGCAGTATGGGATAGACTAGGCCTTAATTTTGGTAGGTGAGACTGGGTCTAAAACTTTTGTACTTACTTGGAACGAATTATAACTACCTGTTTGCCATTGGGCCAAAGCTTTAGTGTAAAAAGACGAAGGAAGCCGTATGACATAATGGCTGTATGACTGTATGGCTGACGTCAAAGTTAACAACTTAGCTTTTGTTTGATACGATAAAAAAAATAAAATAAAAAATTAGAAGAACAAATAAAATATCATGCATATTTTATAAGCAAATAAAATAGAACGAATAAAAAAAGTTGATGGATTAGCATTCTTACTAATTTATTAAAAAATTTATCCCTTCAAAATAAAAAAAAAATAGATAAAAAATTAATTATGTGTATTGAAATGTATGTTATTTACCTTAATATCTTGTAATATATGTATATGTATATATCCTATTATCTAGTACATATTCTATGTAATTTAATTTCATTTACAGATACAATGGTAAAATATACGACTATATTATTTTCATACTTCCACGTTTTTATCCTATTTGAAAAAAAATTTTACTTTTCGTCCCTCCAAAATTTTTCCCTTGAATGACAAAAAATGTACCACTCTTACTTTTCATTCTTCTATTTTTTAATTCACAATACCAAACAAAACACACCATTAGTTATGGTATCAATCAAAAAATGATTTTTTATTTTGGAGACAAAGATTAAGGTATCCATAGGGCTCGTTTGATTGTCGTATTAAAAATAGATAAATTGAATAAAATAATACAGTCTAATACAATATAGATAGATAAAATACAATATTAAATAGGATATTAGAATAATACGTAATTTTATCTAGTGTTTGGTAATATACTACATAAACGTTGAATAATAATTATTTAATACAATCGGTTGTTTGGTTAGAAAATTATTTCTTCGTATTAATGTTGAATTAACAAAAATAACTTTAATCAGTATTTGTTACATTGATGACATCTTGATTTTATCAGCAGAGAGTAATAGTAAATATGTAGAATAATACGTTTGAATTAAATGGTAATACTATATCTCTTGGTGGTATTAAAATACCTTCATAATATAGGTCTATTGTATAAAAAAATATACGATAGTATACGTTTTTGAAATGAGTTTGATATCAAATTTATTACCAAACAAAGTATTAGATCCAATTAAATAAAAAATAGTACAATAAAATATTTAATCCCCTCATAATGCGTCTAACAAACGAGCTCATATTGTAAATTATAACGCCTTAGGGTTAAGTTAAAAATTTTGGGGGTGTAAGCTACAACTCTAAAGTGCATGATCTATTACAAAATATTATGATTGATTATGAAAGTATAACTTTTAAACGTTAAACTACTGCCCTAAAAAGTACGAGTTACAATTTGTAAAAATGAAATTATAACTAATTGAAGTAATTCATAACCTTTGACAAAAAAAAGTAATTTATTATCGATCACAATATTTTATGATCGATAATAAATTACCTCAAACAGTTGTGTCATGGTTGATTCATATCAAAAGATTACGTCACGTTTTCATGTGAATGTTGCATAGTGTCAAAATTACTTCCTTTATACCCAAATTTCAACAGTTATATTTTGTCAGATTTATATCATGAATAAATAGTATAGAGTAATGCATAGTTAGGTTCATGTCATATATTGTCAAATTGGCATTGGCCTATTTAGACAAGATATGGACTTTTTGCTCATTTTTTTTTGTCTTTATGATACATACTTTTCATCTATATATTGAGGGAACTATTTTCCATTCTCATTTTGTTTTGTATTAAAACATGATCTTTACTTGCACCTTCAATCTAAAAGCGTGAGTTTGGCCAACAATTTTTACTTCACGTTAAACACTCTTTACTTTCTTACATTTTTATTACCTAATTAACTAATCTAATGATATAATAGTGACATGATATAATAACATTATTGCAAGTGTAACTGTTAGACCTCTTTAACAATACTTTATGACCTGACACGTAATTAAGTCAACAAATTAAGGTAATTTTATAAATTTCAATAGTATTTATTATTTTTTAATATAAAAAATAAGTTTGAAATATAATTTTTTTTAAAATATAGTCAAAAAAATATCTTAATTTAAAAATTAAAACTTATATTTAATAACTTTGTATGAATTTTATGATATTTTTAGTTGCAATAATTTAGTATTGAACAAAATCAGACCCAAGGACCTTACATTTTTACGTGTAAGTGTTTGTGGTTATCCTATGACAAAAAAAAAAAGAAATCAGACTCTTGCAAGTGAGGATAAGCATGAGCAAAGACTGCACATACTTGGAGGTGACTCAAAAACAAGAAGAAGAATGGAGCCCACACAAATGGGTCCCAAATATTTATGTTTGTTTGAAAGATTAGAAAGATGGTGTGCCAAGCCAACACTTAAAGGAAATTTAATGTTTGTTTTCAAGCAAATGAAGAAGTTTTTTGCAAAACTCCATCAATGGGAAAATTGGCGTACAATCCCAACTACATTGTAGGCTTTTGGCATAAGAACAGCTATAGTTTGCTAGAAAAAAAAAAAAAAAACTTAAGCTAGTCAAATATGCAGAAATACGATTGAGTAGTGGAATAAGAAACGAGACGTAAATTAAATTATTTAAAGTTTGAGTCATAATAGCTGCATAAATGGGTCTAAATATTTCCATGTAATTTCTCAATGACTGTGTACTTAGAGTATCTCCAACAATAAAAGTTAGTTTGGTTATTTAAAAAATATTTTTTATTTACTACTTACTTTTTTAATATACACTCCAAAAGATTTTTTTTATAGTTTTAACTAATTTTTTTAAATATTATTTCTCATTCTTTTCGTATTATTATTCTTTGAGAGTAGTGAGAGAGAGAAAAAGAGAGAATTGAGAAAATATTGTAAAGTACTTGTACATGTTGCTATAAATATAGTATCACTGTAGCGAAATGCTAATTTAGATGCGCTAGATATATTCTGTTGAAGTGAAATTTTAGGATAAAGTAACTAAATTCTAAAAAAAAAATTGTACTTTAGCTCATCTCTTGGAGATGTTCTTGCATAGGTTGTATTTCCTATATAAGTCTAGAAAATTGATGTTTTGGGGAAAAAAAAAAGAAAAATTATATTTTGACCTCCTAAACTATTTTGTCGCCTCAACTATCATATTTTTCACATTGTAACATCAACTTTGATTAGTTTCATATTGTCCTAATTAGTAACATCGGTTATATATTTAACACTTATAATTTATTTCAAATTGTTCCTAAATTATGTAATTTTTTTTAATTTGTCTCGACACATCAATAATTTTTGTTAAAAAAGATAACAGACGTTTGTGATTGAGAACATTCAAAATAATTGAGAGGGCAACATAAAAAATTTAACAGTTGAAAGGACAAAGTGAAAACAAAAAGTCATAATGGAGGAGGTTAAAGTATAATTTACCCTTTATTTTTTTGGTTCCATTGTCTTACTTGGGGATATAAGTTAGGCATATCCAAACCCATTTTATCTAGGGAACTTGATATTGGAACTGAATAAGATAGCAAAAAAAAATTAAAAAAACTATTTTTAGTGTTGAATTAAATCAATGTCAACTTGTATGTTGTCTCTTCTAGTTTGGTCTAGTTGCAAGTAGTATTTAATGAATAAAAGTGTTGCACCCAAAAATATAGTTGATTATTTATTACAAGAAAAAAATATCTAACAATATAAATTCATTCAAAATATAAAAATTATTTGATCCTCAAATTATAAAAGTTATGTGCAACTCGATTAAATATACAAATATCCGCTCATATTCCTAGATAGTGACATAATTATTATTTAAATAACTCAAAAAACATAAATTTTTATATAATTTCGACGTATACCCGACTACAAATAATGAAACTACTTTGGAGACAGTTTCGTCGA